GAGCTTTTTAAGGTCCCTTCCAACACAAACCAGGCTGGGCAACTTCTTACCAGCTTTGAATGTCCAGCACTGGGCACAGCTGATACGATCCTCAGTCAATGGAGAAGCCTGCTCGCTGTGTTAATGTTATACCAGGCTTAAAATGCTGGCATGTTTCCTACCCTGGGGGAGGAGCTGGCCTGTGAAGTGAAAGGGGAAGGGAAAAAGTTGTGGGTGGAAAAATGAGGGTGGAGGCTCCAGCTATGTGTGGGGCTATTTATTTGTCCAGCTGTTTCTTTATCTGGATGAGTTTGCAGCCTGTGAATGTGAAGGATTTGCCAGGGCTTCTGAGAAACCCAGGCCCCAGATGCTCTAAATTGGTCTGAATTGGCAGAACTCCATGGCAGTTATTTTTCCGGACACAGAGGAGTGTGTCTGCTACATGCACAGCTCCACTGTTAATCCCTTGCCCGTCCAGCCTCTCTGCCACTGTTCCTTGGTGCTGTCACTCCATCCCCAGCCCTGGCGATGCCATGCTGGTGTCTCCAATCACTGCCGGTACCCAGTGTGATCCCAGTCTTGTCTTCCCCTCCTAAGTCTGCCTGCCAGTCTCAGTCCTGACCTGACCAGATGGGAGGAACTCCTGCAGCAGCATCTCACTTGTGGCTGAGCAGCGTAGGAGCTGCTCCCTCCCTCCCCCAGCTCATTGGCATTGCAGTTGATGGTGTCTCAGCGTGGCTGTCGAGCATCTGGAGGTGGTGGTTCGGTGGTGATCTTTAGATGCAGAGTGCTAGAGGCAGAGCCCGGCATGCAGCAGTGCCGGCTACGGGCCACAGCGCCGGCAGAAAGTTGCTTATTGAAAGCATCTTCAAAGTGAAAAGGACAGGCACTTATCTCCTAACTGCCCCGTGGGGAGCAGTGCGGTTGCTGGTGGGAAGTGGGCCAGGGTTGCGTCTGCTGGCTTTGAGCAGCTGCAGGTTTATTTATAACGCCGTGGGTAGCACGTGAATCTGCAGATAAACACACGGGAGGGAGGAACACAAACAACACCACTGAGGAAACGCTGCTCTGGAGAGAGCGTTGCGCTGAGCTGCAGCTCTCGCGAGGCACCGGACACGCCGCCCACCCCATTGCCGTGCGGGTTTGCTCTCTGTGATGATGATGGCACTGTGAAAGCATTGGCTGTGACAGTGAGTGAAGCTGCCCAGATTGATGGTTGTAGCAGGCACCTTGTCTCCACAGCTGGCAGGGCGCTAACAGATGGGCTTGGGGGTGCCCATCCAGCAGTTGGTCCTGTTGGGTGCCTGGAGCAGGATATGAATAGTCCTTCCCTAGCATCCTTATAGGCTCCTTTCGGATACTGGAAGCTGCTCTGAGGTCTCCACGCAGCCTTCTCTTCTCCAGGCTGAACAGCCCCAACTTTCTCAGCCTGCCTCCATACAGGAGGTGCTCCAGCCCCTGATCATCCTCATGGCCTCCTCTGGACTTGTTCCAACAGTTCCATGTCCTTTTTATGTTGAGAACACCAGACCTGCACACAGTACTCCAAGTGAGGTCTCATTCATTAGGGACTGTAGTGATAGGACAAGGGATAACAGGTTAAAACTTAAACAGGGGAAGTTTAGATTGGGTATAGGGAAGAAGTTCTTTCCTGTGAGGGTGGTGAGGCACTGGAATGGGTTGCTCAGGGAAGTTGTGAATGCTCCATCCCTGGTGGTGTTCAAGGCTGGGTTGGATGAAGCCTTGGGTGAGATGGTTTAGTGTGAGGTGTCCCTTCCTATGGCAGGGGGTTGGAACTGGGTGATCTTAAGGTCCTTTCCAACCCTGACTATTCTATGATTCTATGAGCAGGGCTTGGCTGTGTCTTCATGGGGCCTTCAATGCCTCTTGCTGTGGAGATCTGAGCAGGTCTGAGCCTGGGGTTGCTGTTGAGCATCACTCCTGATTTTGCTTGCTGGAGAAATGAATTAGTGTGCTGCTTTTGTCTGGAAATAAGGAGCTTCTCAGTGATGAGACAGTGATCTTCCCTGGAGGACCACGTGGCCCTTGGGTGTAGGGTGAGGATGCTCCTGGCCACGTATGCAAGCAGGATGACTCTATGGCAGGCATTACTTGGGCAATAAGGTGTTTTGAAGTCAACTGTCAGTGGATGGAGCAAATCCACCATCACCACTGAAATCTGTCCTGGATTCACGTTCACTTTTGCAGTCAGTGCTGCTGCTGACTGGGTTCACTCTGATTCAGGCAAAACTGCTAAGCTCTAGCATGTAACTGATCCCCAAAGGGACTTCAGGCAGGGCAGCCATTTGGTAGGAAGGCCTTGCAAAAGTGGGGACCACAGGCTTGTCATCCACTCTACACAAAGAAGGCTGATAAACAGGAACCTCAAAGAAAGGAACTTGTTTCAGGGTGGAAGAGTAAGGAAGCTCAGCTAATGTAGTTGTCTTGGAGATGACATTTTGCCACCCTTAAGCGCCGCAAGAGGGAAAGGAAGCTTTGGGTAGGCGAGTCTGTATGCAAGTGAAAGGAAATCTAATAGCTGGCAGGCACACAGGGTAAATTCAAAGTAAAATTAATGGAAGATCTCTTTTTTCTTTAATGAGGAAATAATTGACCATTGGAAAAACCTGCACATTTCTGCTCCTCCTTGGCTTGGGTCAAAACAAGATGGCCTTGGGCCAGCTAGGGTAAGTGCAGAGCTCTGAGGAGATGCACAGGTTTTCAGCTGAGGTTAGGAGGCAATGGCTGTGGTCAGCGTGCTCTGCAGTAATGCACCAGGAACAATTGTGTTTTCATTAAATAACAGGCTTCTAAAAATGCAAAATGCTTCAAAAGATGGTTTTTATTTGGGGAATTATTGGTATTGGTTTAGAGTACAACTTGTTTTACGTGGTAGTCACTGGTGTTAATGTATTTACTGTGCACCACTGTCACTGATAGTTAAAGTAACAAATTTAAGGGTTTATTTTGTAAATCAGTGCAGGTTCTAGCTAGCACTGGGTGAAAAATGGTGTTTTCCTTTCAGATCAAAGTGCCACTGGTGTTTTAATGAAAAAGCCAGATCCCCTGATAAAATAAACACTATTATCAACCTATGTAAACCAATATTCAGTTGAGAAAGAAGTTTCATAAATCTGAGCGACAACATTTCTGGACTAGCTGTTTTCCAGAACTCTTCCTAGTGGGAAAGTTTGGAAAGCACTGTTTTTGCTTTTTACTCTTGGAATCAAACCAGATTTTGAAATCCTGGTTTCCTGTGAACTGGAAACCTCTGGCTCTAACCAGGAGTAACGAACAACCCACAGTCTGAAAGTGATTTACTGCCAGAAGTAGGTGCAAGGAGTATGTATCTGTGCTGAGGCACTCTTTGGCTGGGTGATGGGAAAAGGGGAGCTAATGTGCGCCCTTGGACAGGCTGAGGGCTCGGTTCTGCTTCCAGGCTTGTCCCCTAAAGGATGTGTCTGCTCAAGGCTGAGCTTTTCTTCCTTTGTTGTTGCTCCACACAGTGAAAGTGGAGGAGGTGGAGCTGCTTTTGAGGGGTTTGTGCCCCTACGCTTGGGTTTTGAGGGTGAGGAGCAGCAACGGGACACAGTTACAGCCAGTAACTCTCCATCTGTGTGTGGCCATAGGAAGTAGCAGCGTTTGATGGGTTATGGGATGGTGGGGAGAGCTCTACTGTACTGGGGTTGATCCCTCTCTGTGAGCTGATGGGAAGGTGTGCACGTCTTGTGCATAAGGTACTTTTGCTTGAGATCCCTGACGCTGGATGTTTTCCCTGCCTGTCCTGCACTGACTGGGAGGGCAGGGAGAGTGAAGCTGCAGGCTGAGTTTTGTATTTGTCTTGCTTGTGTGTGTGACGGATGCTTCCCAGCATGTGGTTGGCATCCCAAGTGTGTGTTCTAAAATCAGAGGCACGTTCACATTCTCCCTATAGAGTAGAGGAGTAGAATTTCTTCTGTGGGCATCACCTTGGTCTCAGCCACAGAATGGTTGTATGCCGGCCTGCACAGCCTGTCCCACGAGCATCACACTTCTCCCATGCCCAGTTTTGGTGTGGTGGACCCTTTGGGTGTGATTTCTGAACTCCATTTCCTAAACACTGGAATATTGTCCTATTTTCTTAAATTGTCAGCACTGGGCATAGTGCAGACAAATCCCTGTGTTGCAGTGAGCATGCAACTGCAGACCTGGAGGATGGACAGTCACCCAGGCTGCAGAAACCACTCATGGAAGTGTCTGTCCAGTGTATTTCTGATGGAGCCATCTGCCTGTTCCTGTGCTGGATGGGAAGAACCTGAGCAGGTTAGCCCAAGTATTGGGGTGCCATAACCTGAGCATCCTTTCTTGTGCCATCAGTGTCGTTAGGCTGACCTGTAGCTATTTGGGATGAGAAGGACTTTGGTACTGGAAGTGTGACAAGCTGTGGAAAGGATAAGGAATCTTTGCTACCTGTGTGGCTCAGGGAGACTTCTCCTCTGTGGTACTGGCAGCAGCATCGCTTGACCTATTTCAACCCAAATCACCTGGGAAAACAGGTTTAACATCAGTTTAATTTTTTAGTACTTTTAAGTCCTAAAAGTGCTGTTCCTTCCCATGTGCTACAGCATCACCGAGGATTCTGCCTACCACGCAGAACAAAACATCCCACTTTTGCAACAGAAACTTCAGAGGGGATGGAAGAAACTGGCTCAAGCTGGGCTTCTTGTCTGAGCAGCAGAGCTGCTCTGGGGCTGTCCTACCCTGCTTCTGCATTTTGAAGAGCAAAGCCCACCCGGGCTGAAGGGTTGAAGGGTGAATGCTGCCATACACTGCAGAAGACAAGGGGGCCAGGGAGAAATGGGCAATGGATGAGGAAGCAGATGGGTGGAGAGACCAATTCTTGGCTCCTCCACAGCTAAGGGCTGGCCAGAAAGTACAGCACAGGCTGGGCTCCATGGCTGCCGTCCTGTTCTGGCTCCTCTTCACTTTCTTCCCCTTCTCCTGCCTCAGGCTTGACTTCTTGTTTCACCTTCTTCCTGCAGAGACGCTGATGGACTCCACAACAGCGACGGCGGAGCTGGGCTGGACGGTGCATCCTCCGTCAGGGGTGAGTGATCCGGTTGCATCGGGGGGGCCTGGAGCCTGGTCTGGGGTCTCCTGCTGCACATGAATGTAGGTGGGTTGGCTCAAGAGAAGTCAGCCACTGAAGCAAAGTGCCTTGACCATGTGAAGAGGTCAAGTGGGAAAAGCACAAGAGGGGGTGGGTGACAGTTGGGGTTTCCAGTAGTTCTCTAGAAGGTGATGCGTCCAAAAGATACCCCAGTGCTGGAGAAGTCTAATTCTCACCCTATAGCATCAGGCCAGTGTGGTATTGGAGGAATCATACTCTATAAAACTGATCTGCAGCCACTTAAAAATCAGGAAGGGGGACAAATGAAATGCTGAGGCCGCTGTCATTTATCCCCAGTATCTCACTTGTTATCCCATTGCCCATCACTTGAAAAGAAAAGGATGGGGGCACTGACCTGCAAGGTTGCACCCACAGCAGCCATTTAATAAGTCCTGAAATGACTGTCCAGCATTCCTGGCATCTCATGGAGGAACATTAGCTGGCTCAGCAGCGACTGTCTCTCTGCTTTGCTGGTACCAAGAGTTCTCCAAGCCACCCAGAGCAAGCTTCTTTAAAGAAGAGCTTGAACAAGGTAGGGTATCTCTGCACCTTTCTGCTCACGACACAAAGCTGGAGCAGTCCCAGCCACCTCCATGACCTACAGCAGTTGTGTGGGGCATCAAGGTGCTGCCCAGCTCTGGCTGCAGTGGCCAGCAGCAGCGTGGAGCCTCAGTCCTCAACACCCCCAGGCTTGAATGGCCCAATCCAGCTTGGGCAAAGGCTGGAGATGCTCCCCATCGCCTTGTGCAGAGATGGGAGCTGATGGTAGCCCTCCGCAGGGGCAGGATGAAGATGTTTTGTGGGCCTCACCCTGAAGATGACAGCAAGCCCCCTCACTAGGCTGACTTGGCAGAAGAAAAGAAACAGCCAAGAAAAGCCTCTGCTGGGGAGATTAAACCCAGCTCCCGAGCAGCCCTGCCGTGCTTGGGCTGCAGGCGCTGCCGGCACCGGTCCCCATCACCATGAGAAAGCCCCACGCCTGCCTGCGAGCCTGGCGCCTCCCCAGCGCTGGCCCGGCCGCCAAAGGGGGATGATGGGCACACAATAGGCAGGAGCAGAGGTCAAGTCTTTTTCTCTCCTCGCCCAGCCTTTCTTGTTTGCGGTGTTTCCATATGTAAAGCACGCCTTGCTCCCGCTCCCCGGCCCTGCGGTAATGAGGCCGGGGCCGGCTGGAAGCCGTCTCCCCGTATTATTGTGCTGCCTTCTTCTTTTGAGCTCCCAGCATGTTAATTAGAGAGCGAGGAGAAAGGGAGAGGCTTCTAATTAAGCATCAAGGAAGCGCAGGGGCTGCTGTATGGGGGTGACTTTCTCTCCTGGCTTGGGAGCCACCCCCCCTGCTCGCTGCTGCAGGGATGTAGGAGGATGCTGGCTGTCTCGATCCTCACCTCCAGGGTGCTCCCACGTCCTTGTCCCCATCAGGATGTGGATGCCCGTCTAGGAAGTCCAGCACAGCCCTGCTGGTGGTGGTGGGATGGCCTCCCATCGCGGGTGGGATGTGGGGTGTGGATGCTGATGCTGCAGTGCCTTTGCAGCTTCTCCCGGGGTGGCCTCGTGCCCACTGACAGGACAAAGGTTATCCTGCCCATGAGGGACTGGCAAGGTTGGTGCAGTCAGCATCATCCGGGAGACAAAATCTGCTTCCCATTTACTGCCTCACTGATGATTATTAAAGGTCCAAAAGCCCAAACAGTTGTTTTTTTCCCTCACTGTGGAGCTCCCCTGTTGCTTGTAAGTGTTCCTATGCCTACCTCCACCATCTGCTGTTCATCCCCTACCTGTAGAGACTCTCCTTCCACCGTGTGCTGCTCCTGCCTGACCAGGGGTGAGCTCTTCAAACTCATGTCCTGAGCCCTCCCTGGGGGCCCTGCAGGTGTAGATGGGGCAGTACTGGGCATCTCCAGGTCTTGGTGCTCTTTCAGAGTGGGTGTCAAGGTGATGGAGAGCCAAATCAGAGGCAGGGCAGAGGAAGGAATTGCTTCCCTATGTCTTGCCTTTGATTCCTTCACCTGCTCCCAGCCAGTGCCCTAAAAAAGGTGGAGATCCTGCAATTTTCCACTACCACACTGAGTTATTTCTGGAAGAGAAAGCAAATCTTCCCCCCGTGTTTTGTGAGGATGCTTTCCTCCTCCCCCAGCGATGGCAGCAGATTTCCAGTCACTGCCAATCAGAAGTGGTTGGAGCTGTTTGGGGATCTTCCCTGACAGCCTTCTGTTGGGCTGTTAGCCTTGATGTGCGAGGAGCAATCTGTCTCTCATCCCCTGAGCCTCCCTCTACAGTCCTGGGTGCAGGCTGAGGGCTGGGGATGCTCTGCTCCTGATGTTTTCTGTGCCAAATGTTGGTGCTGGACCTGGGCTGTGGGGCTACCTTGCCCTGGGTGTCATGATCCTGCCTCCAGGGCAGGGTTGTGCTCAGGGTCTGATGTCCATGGGAAGCAGCTCGGCTTCCACTTGAGGAGGTTTATGAACAAATTAATTGGAAGCCATTCCAGCTGGCTGGGACTGTCACACACTAGCTGCATCCCGGTCCCTGCCACCAACATCAGGAGGGTGCTGCTGGTGGGGAGCGGGCAGCACAGAGAGATGCTCTGCACTCCTGCAAGGTCTGGGCTGGGGGGATGCTCTGGTGAGCCAGGTGGGAGGTGCTTTGTTTTCAATCTGTGCTCACCACAGGGGAGCAGTGGCCGGTTACTGCCTGCAGCTCTGCCCTTGTCTGGTCATCACCCATCCTGAAGTCTCCCCATCCTAAAAAGGATGGAGACAACAACAAGAGCTGAAGGATTTGTTAAAAACCAGCTTGGGGAAAGGGCAAGGAGCAGGACAGGACCAGGAGGTGTCACAGCAGCCCCAGACATTTCAGAGGCTCCTCCAGAGTTACCTGTTAGTCAGCTTGGGGAGCTGGGCTGAGCTTCCTATGGGGAAATGTCAGCTCCAGGTGTCTCGCTGAGAAGGATGTTACTGTCATGCCATTGCTCATAGGGCATCCCGTAGTTGCAGTTTAGGACAGCTGGGGTTGAGCCCTATGTAAACCTGCAGGAGGGACTCCAGAACATGTTGGCCTTTGAAGGGGCGAGGATAAGAGCTACCAGCAGGATCTAACTCAGCATCTCCCTTTGTGGGTACACAGTGGGATCAGCCTGGCCCCCATAAACCTTCCCTCCTGCCCATGGGGAGAGGCCGCTGGCTATGGGCCTGTTGCACAGCCAGTCCTTGGGCTGAGAGGAGGTATTTTATGGCCGCGTTACGCGCTCCGGGTCCTGTCTGCCACGTCTGTAACTGCAGCGGCACCGGTGGGAATACATCTGCTGAAGGCATCGTGTTCCTTTGCTGTGATGCTCTGCTGAGCAGTGCAGCCCACGGGCAGGAGCCCCTGCTAAAGGCATTACTGCCTGCAGAGATGGTGCACGGCCCTGCCATGCTCTGCCACGCAGCAGAGGTGCTTTAGTGTAAATCCAGGCATGGAGCATGGTGCTCCTGGCATTGAGATGGCCCCCAGCTCTACGGAGGGCTTGGGCCACCTTGTTCCTACAGAGTGGAGCCGGCCATGTAGGCAGTGAGGGTGAAGCCCTGCCAGAGCAGGATGGAGGTGTTGGTATAGGCTGCTTGCAGCGTGATGCTGGAGCAGTGCTGGGTGAGGTGGTGGGGTGGGCGCAGCGTGGGGCAGCTGGCGTTGTCCAAGTCTGGGGTTGGGAAGAGGTGAGGTGGGTTGGGAACAGTAGTTTGGTGCAAGCCTTTGATTTCCTGTGTCCTGTCTGCAGTGGGAAGAGGTGAGCGGGTACGACGAGAACATGAACACAATTCGCACCTACCAGGTGTGCAACGTCTTTGAATCCAGCCAGAACAACTGGCTCCGTACCAAGTACATCCGGAGGCGAGGAGCACACCGCATCCACGTGGAGATGAAATTTTCCGTCCGGGACTGCAGCAGCATCCCTAACGTCCCAGGCTCCTGTAAGGAGACTTTTAACCTCTACTACTTCGAGTCGGACTTTGACTCAGCCACCAAGACTTTTCCTAACTGGATGGAGAATCCTTGGATGAAAGTGGACACAATCGCTGCCGATGAGAGCTTCTCGCAGGTGGACCTAGGTGGGCGGGTGATGAAGATTAACACCGAGGTGCGCAGTTTTGGGCCTGTCTCCAAGAACGGTTTCTACCTGGCCTTCCAGGACTATGGGGGCTGCATGTCCTTGATTGCCGTCCGTGTCTTCTACCGCAAGTGTCCTCGTGTGATCCAGAATGGGGCCGTCTTCCAGGAGACCCTCTCAGGAGCGGAGAGCACCTCGCTGGTGGCAGCCCGGGGGACGTGCATCGCCAACGCGGAGGAGGTGGATGTGCCCATCAAGCTGTACTGCAACGGTGATGGCGAGTGGCTGGTGCCCATCGGCCGCTGCATGTGCCGGGCAGGCTACGAGTCAGTGGAAAATGGGACTGTTTGCAGAGGTAACTGCTGGCTTCGGTCTCACACTGCACAGTGCCTTGGGGCCGGTGGCTGTGCCCATGGGGCAGTCGGGATTTGCAGCAGGGATGTGCATGAGCTGCCTGGGAGCAACCTCCTTGGGCTGGGGTGGGAGAGGAGCATGTGGGGGCATGGGAGAGGAGCGTGTGTATGGATGCTGACTCCTCCAGCTCCTCAGTTTGTGCCCTGGGACCATCCATCTGGTGCAGAGGCTCTGCGTTAACCTTTGGGTCCTCAGAGGCAGCTGGTCCAGGATGCTCTCCAGGTCTCGGAGGGACACACGTGTGTGTAGCTGAGGTGTGTGCCACCAATCTGCAGTCACCTCGCAAAATACTGAGGCTGTTTTCACTTCAGTTTGTGCCCTGGGCCTTGCCATGACCTGAAACGCTTCTGGGATGTGGGGAGCAGGCAGCCAAAGGTGATGTCCTGGGAGGGAGCAAGTTGTCTCCAGTGTTTTTTTGCATGGTGAGGTGCAAATGGCCCAGGGTGGGACATGATCATGGACTGTTCAGGGCCAGCCTCACTGGTGCCCAGGTGAAGAGGTGAGCTCCTGCAGCAGCCAGAGGCCTCCTGCCCTGTAGATGTTCTCCTGCCATCTACAGAGATGTTCAAAGCAGACTCTGGGGGTGCCTGCTCAGCTCAGCTGAGTACTCTGGAGCCACTGTGGTCCCAGAAATGAGAGGTTCAGCACCACACTTGCTGAAAGCATCGTGCCCACACTCATCTCTCTGCTCCTCCCATGTCATGTGTGGGCTTGGGGAGGTTTAGAAGGAGCTGCTGAGGTTGTTGGGGAGAGCTGGGGACACGTTTAATGGGCACCTGCTGCTGTCCTATGCACAGAGCAAACCACAGCGATTGGCAAATGGCTGAATATCAAAACCCTATTACAGTTTTGATAGCATCATCGTGCTGGGGTTTCTCTGAGATCAATTACAGATACGTCATGGGCACTGCAGAGTGCAAGGAAGGAGCTGCATCTCTTCTCTTTGTGCTGTGAGAAAGGGGTAGCTGGGTCACACCAAGCAAGTATGGGGAGGGAGCTGATGGAGGGGCCTGGACAGCCTCTGGCCATTCTCAGTTGGGACTGTAGGTTGGGTTGTCCCCTTGGAGAGGGCATCACGTCTCCTGCTAGGGGCTAGGCTGTTTATGCATCGAACTACAGCTCCTGATGTGCTGTGGGTGTCAGTTGATGTTTGTGATTTGAGCTGCTCCTCGCCGGGCCACTGCACATCTCTTCCCACCAAGCTCAGGGTGATCATGTCCAGCTGTAGCAGGGATGGGGACAGCAAGGAAGCGCTGCTGCAGCACAGTGTGGAAAGGGAGCCTGGCTAATCCCAGCCTTGAAGGGAAGACGGGTGTTTTACAACACGCGAGTGAGCATTCGTAGCAACACCAGAAAGCCAAAATGATTTGTGTCAGCTTTTCCATCTCACCTGATTTACTTCCCCTGCATGAACCCAGCCCTGCACTTTGCTCTGGTGCAGCTTCAGGCTCCAGACACTCCCTGGTCCCACTGCCAGCATAGCCAAGGGATGATCCTCTCACATGCCCCGTGGCTCCCAGGTCTCCTTATGCATGCTCTGGCCTGGCAGAGCCAGGGGCCACGGTGGAGGGAGCAGGCAGGAGGGAGAGGCTGGGTCTCCTCTTTGCCTGGCAGCAGGAGGATTTGGGGAGGTCCAGTACCTCGGCAGCTGTTTCTGCAGCCGGTGCTGGCGTGTACCAGCCCTGCGCTCCCCAGCAGCATCAATCACGGGGTGGCCGGCAGCCTGATGTCTCTGTGGGGCAGCTGGCTCTGGGGCTGCCTCTTTCCTTCCCCTTCCCTATCCCCCTTTCACCTTCCCCTTCACTTTCACCTTCCCTTTCCCCTTTCCCCTCCTCCTTCCTCTTCCCCTTCCTTTTTCTCTTCCCTTTCTTCTTTCCTCCTGTGCGGGGCTGGATGGGACCCCATGACTGTGTCAGACTGGGGCACATCCTCTGCTTTCCCCCAGAAGACCGAGGACTGGGAGGAGAGTGCCATGGGGTTGGCAGGGCAGCCATAGCACCCCTATCCTCTCCCAGCACCTCCAGTGAGCCCCACAGAGGAGTGGGAAAGGGGCTGGTCACCCCAGCTCCGTCAGCAGCTCAACTCAGGAATGACCTGCAGGATGCATCCCTGCCCACCTCCCGTTGTGTCCTTGCCCCTGGTGCCTGCAGAGGTAGGGTACGAGCCGCCTGGTTTGGGGGACTCACTTGTACATGTAGCTGGCAGGTTTTCTCATGTTTCAAGGGGTGGGAGGGAATCTGGGCCCCTTTCCAGAAGCAAAACAAAAGCAAATCTGAGCTGGCTTTCGGGGCGAAGTGCTCTCACACGGCTCGGTTGCCCAAGCAGGACGTGATGGGGAGCGTGGGGGACATGGCTCACTGGTCCTTCCCCAACAAGTCCTGGTGGAAAAGGGCATCCCAAGCAATGGGCAGCCCCTTGGTGCAGCTGCACGGTACTGAAAGGAGCTGCTCATTTTCTCCACTGGGCTTTCCATCTGGCTACGGCAGCGCAGGCCTGCTCGCGGCAGTGCACACAAGGGATATTGATGGAGGAAGTTCATGCGTCTAACAGCTTAAGCTCTCCTAAGCTCGCAGCCCCAGCACAAAAGGCTTTGGGAGCAGTTAACAATTCTGTGTGGTTAAGAGATTTCCATTTCGCTGGGCCTCGCTGCCCCATCCCGCAGGGTCCTGCCTGCTCTCTCCTCATCGCTTCCCGGCTCCTTCCCACTGCATTGGCGTGGGGCTCCCCACGCCGCCTCCCCCAGCCCAGCCGCGTCCTCCCCACTTCACCTTCTCCTGCTCCCTGCCTGCGTCTTTTTTCTCCATCTCCCTGTTCTTTGTCTGCTGCCTCCCCCCTCTCCCCCGCCTGTCCCTCCCATGCAGCATATTAAGCGCATTTCTCTCTCTGCCTCCCTTATTCATTGGCTCCCCTCTGCAACGGCAGAGGCAGAGCTATTGTGCTGCCTGCTCTCTCACTGTTTGGGCTGCACGGCAGAGAACCCTGCCTGCGAGGGTCTCTGCTTGCTCAGGGATGGCAGTCCCTGGCTGCTGATCCTGGCTATTGAGCCCTGCATCCATCTCCAGCTCCTCTCCATCTTTGGAGGACATGGAATCATCACAGGATCCAAGACTGGTTTGTGTTGGAAGGGACCTTAAAGCTCATCCAGTTCCAACCCCTGTCACAGGCAGGGACCCCTTCCACTAGAGCAGCTTGCTCCAAGCCCCTGTGTCCAACCTGCCCTTGAACACTGCCAGGGATGGGGCAGCCACAGCTTCTCAGCGCCTCAGCACCCTCACAGGAAAGAGCTTCTGCCTAAGAGCTCATCTCAGTCTCCCCTCTGGCAGGTTAAAGCCATTCCCCTTGGCCTGTCCCTACAGGCCCTTGTCCCAAGCCCCTCTCCAGCTTTCCTGCAGCCCCTTTAGGTATTGGAAAGCTGTTATAAAGCATGTGCCCTTGCAGATGTGTGTCCTGCAGGTAGGCTCCATGATAGGCTTCCTTGCCTGTGTGCTTGTGTGTAATTTAGAGGTCTGGCACAGCAGATCTGCCACCAACACCACTGTGTGCCGGGAATTTGGGTGCAGAAGCAGTGATGTTCATGTCACATATGCTGAGGACCCAGAGGTGTGGAGAGCAGTGAGGGTGTGTTGCAGCTGTGCTGCGCTTGGGTTTTGGAAGGGGCAAATACAGGGTAAGGGCCTGGAGGGACATGCAGGTTTCTGATGTGCCAGGGAAGGGTATGTCCTAGCTGTCTCAAAGTCACCTGCCATGAGTACATGATGTTTTGGAGATAAAAGGCTATTTATGACTCCATGCCTGCTTCAGGTCTGGCCCATTAGTGTTAATGCTGGACCCAGCCAATAAATTGTAAGGCCTTAGGGATAATTAGGTTCTTACAGGAAGCATTCCTGGTTGAGCTGGAGCAGATACAGCCAGTCGTAAATGTTTGCAGAGATGGAGAACTGCCCGTTAAACACTGCCCTTGGCACTGCTTTGGCTTTTCCATTGGTAGATCCACCATCCCATGCGCAGGATGCATGTACGTAGTGACAGCCTATGTGCCAAGGGGATGCTGAGATTTCCCTTTTCCTGCATCCCCTCTTTGCTTTTAACTATTTCAGCAATGGCATCTCTCTGGGTGCTTTTGAAGAGCCTGGAGGTGTGATCTGACATGTGTTTGTGCTGAAATGCGTGTTCTTTGCGTGTGCCCAGCTCACTGAGGCATCTGGATTGCTGTGTATCACCTTCAGTATTTACCACGCTACGGCTTCCATGTCATCAGCTAACTTTACTGGGAATGCTTTGGGCTTTCTCCTGGGTCATTGATAAAAATGTTAAATAGCCCAGAGGCATGAACCATATTTGTTGGCTCTAGTAGAAACAGACCTGCTCTCTGCACATTCCCTGTTTAGATCTCAGACCATAGCAGCATCAGCTTGCCAAGTTTTAATGCATTGAATATGTCCCGCAGTGTCGGTGGACTTACTAATTTCTGAGTCAAAATATCATGTGTTACCAAGGGAAATGCTCTGCAGAGGTTTGGGTGTGTTGCTTTAACACTGTGAAACTCTCCCAGCCAATCTTGTAATTGCATCAAAAAACCATACAAGACTAATTTGCCTTAATCTCTTCTCCATAAGCGTACGTAGGTTGGCACTACTATTACTACCTTCCTTTCATCCTTTGCTGGCCAGATCCTGTAGCTGGCACATCCTTATCTGACTGGTACTGACGCTGCAATGGCACTCCTAAAATAGCCAAGACTGCCTCATTTAACAAAGAGCTTTTTCCTACAGCCCTGAAACATCCTGCTGCTTGACGGTGTCTGGAAAGTGAACATTATCTGTCCACTGGTTCATCAGCCATCTCTTTAAAAACTCATAGGTAGATGCTATCCTGACACACTGACTTAACAATGTTTAACTTTAGTAGCTGCTATTTAACATCTTGAGTTACTGCTGGAAT